AAATATCATTGACAAAAAAAGATGATTTTTTTAAACTTACTGAACCCTTTTTTTTAAAAAAAAAATAAGATCTTTTTCTAGGTTACATTTCCCTATTTTGATTTAAATAGTAATACGTTATTAACAAATAATTTGTAAAGCACATACAAAATAAGAATTAAATAAACTTTAAATGAGTTCACTAGTTACATGAGATTAACTATATTTTTAAAAATATAATTATGCGGAATGGAAAAAATCCCACTGAAATTTCATTGTTACTTATGATAACATAGGCTATAAAATGAAATGGCTGATTCTTAAGACAAACTTGGTTTATATAAAAACATTGTGTCTAGCAAATGTTGGATACTCACAAATGAGTGCCAGGGTATATGTATAAGACAACATTATTCTTTTCTGTTATCAAAAAGGAAAGCAAAGATTAAGTTTATTGGTCTAATAGAAATTGGTGGGACTTCTCCGACTTTTCCTGTAGATGACATCCTTTGAACTTAGAACTGAACTCATCTTTGTGGCTCAACTTTCAGCTAAACACACAAGCCAATAAGTGAACATCAACATTAGGGAGTTATGAACATCTAAGAGGATAGAAGAAGAATCAATGCCTTCGAGTTGTGGTGCTGGAGAAGAGTCTTGAACATTCCATAGACTGCCTAGAAAACAAATAGGGCTGTCTTGGAGAGGGTGAAACCAAGTTTCTCCTTGAAGGCTAGGATTTTGAAGCTCTGTCTCACATACTTTGGACAGGTGGCCAGGAGAGACCAGTCCTTAAAGGACATCATACTTAGAAGGGTGGAGGTACAGTGGAGGAGAGAAAGACCCCAGATGAGATGGATTGATAGAATATTTAGGACAACGGTGGTTGGTGTGTCAGAGTCAGTAAGACTGACTCAGGACAGGGCAGGCTTCAGAGTTGGTGTATATAGGACTTGACGGCACATGACAACAACAACAAGAATTAACCACGTAAGGACCAAACAGGCAACATTTTCTCAGAGACAAAGCTCAAAAGAAGAAGGGATAGAAAAGGATAACAAATAGAAATAGTAAACACAGGAAGAAAGTGAGTTAGGGTGCTGCTCATTGTGGGAATTGCAACCAATGTCAAAAATCAAAATGTACATGAATTGTTGAATGGAAAACCAATTTGCTCTGTACTCTTCACCCAAATCACAATAAAATGTTGTTTTGTAGATGCATCACGGCTTGGGGAGAGGCGGTAGCTCAGGCAGGGCTTGGGTGGCTCTAACCCCTCCCCAAGAAAACCACTGCGATCACTGAATCCCTGCTCCGCAGGAACAATGTGCGATTGAAAGGTGTTGATCAAAAATGTGAACATGTTGGAGGAGATGCAACAGGACTCTGTGCAGTGCGCAACCCAGGCACTGGAGAAATACAACATAGAGAGGTTATCGCAGCCCACATCAAGAAGGAGTTTGACAAGAGTACAACCGCACCTGACACGGCATCGTGGATAAACTTCAGTGACATATGAAGCTACGCACTTCACTTACTTCCACCTGGGCCAAGTCGCCATTCTTCTGTTCACATCTGGTTAAAGCAGGGACTGGGCCCACACACCCAGTGAACCATCCAAAAACAAGACCTAAATTCCAAATACCAGAGACTGAAATCTTCAGCCTTGCTAGGAGAACGTCTCCATCTGTGAACCTTTGTTGTGTTTTGTACAGGACCTTCCTCTGTACCAGTCTGTTGTGGTTATAAATAAATTAGCAAATCAGCTTACATTTGCATTTATTTTCTATCCCATACTTTTACCTGTGTCATATTTTTTCTTTCCTCACAATTCATTTCTTTAAAAAAAGAAATCTGCTGGAGATGTGTGTGCTAAGCTACAACAAAAAAAACCTGTTTTGTGGTTTTTGGTTTTTGTTTTTTTTTTTAAGTAAACTATCTCACCGGGTGGCTCTTTGGAGGCAAGGATTCTGAGGCTCCGTCTAACATACTTTGGACTTGTTGTAAGAAGAGACCAGTCCCTGGAGAAGGACATCATGCTGTGGAGGGTGGAGGGACAGCGCAGGAGGGGAAGGCCCTCTATGAGGTGGATTGATTCGGTGACTGGGGATATCGGGATGGGAGTATCGGAGACAGTGCATTTGGCAGAAGACAGAGGGGCTGTTGTACATAGGGTCGCTATGAGTCGCAAGCGACTCGACGGCACATAACAACAACAAATTATCTCTCCATAAATTTCCCAAGAAATTTCTGGGGCTCAAAGGATTCCTATTGAAAGCACAAACAACTAAGACTGTCTCTGCGAAATATATTAAATCAAAGTATTTTCTAGCACTGTATAATAGGTATGAAAACAGTCATTTGCTTTTCAGCACAGAATCTTCTCAAGTTATCTTATGTTAAAAAATTCCTTTAAAATTCAACTAAATTTAGGTCATCCTGGAGATTCATGCACAAAATAGTGTTGCTCCTCTAAATTCTAGGCTTAGACCTTTTTCTATCCTGACAAATCAAAAGAATCATAATCACCGTATAGTGATCACATCTATTTTGAGATAAGAAGCTATTCAATATAAATGGAGGTTATTTCAAAGACTAAAGGTTGACCCAATACACTTTTTGGAAATAATTTCTTTTAGATGAGTCAGATGTAGGCTGATATCCATGAATGAAAAATCAAATCTCTTTGCTTCCATATATGTTATTCCATCAACTTCTTATCACCATACATAACCTTGAATTTGCCATTGTGGATAGAAAATAGAAAATCTTTCACGGACATAGAACTCTTCAAAAGACAGTAATTGTGAAACTGAAAATAAAAAAAAAAACCTTCTACCCTTGTAAATATGACATATTACAGATAAATAGAATCCTATATAGTAAAGTAGTAAACAGAACACATTCAAACTTTATTACAGGCTTGCTACAGACTAACATTTTTATACATGCAGTCTTATAAGAAAGCCACTTTATCCAAAATGAAATGGGAAAAGCTATTGTTTTTGACAATGCTTTATCTTGAACTTAACTTTGTAGCCAGTTCTGAAGAAGAGTTTAGTCAAAACAGTAACTTCTGTCATTTTATTTGTTTCCGACCTATAACTATTCTTGTGTGTTAGGAAACCTACAATAAAGTCTTTTATATAACATTTCATCAGGGAAATGTTTGTCTGTCGTTGGGCCTATATAAACATTAAATATGATATTGCAGTAAGCCCTTGAATAGTATTATTCCTGTTGTTGTGTAGCAGATGTATTTTGTAGTCCTCATAAAATAAATAGCCACATTTATGTATCTCCCTCACATCTCTGGCCTCTGAGTAAATCTATAATTAGAAAAGATTACAACCACCCAATGGAAACACATAAAAGAATTTAAAAGTATTTCTCTTCTCAATCCATTGTAAATCATAATGTCAGTCAAGGCAGTAATCTTGAAATTTTTCTTTTTACAATAATACTATAACTAAGACACGTATCTTACACAACTTTTCCACAGTACTGAATTGCTTGTATTTAGAGGTGGAAGCCTACTGGCATGAGTTATTTTAATTCAGTAAAATGAAAAATGTTCATATGTGAAGTATCGGGGCATTCATAAAAGAGAAAAGTGAAAGACAAAGAAGTTTTAAGTATTTTCTCAACAGTATGTGCTTATAATAAAGGCAAGACTCAATTCTTGTCTAATCAATCCTCAATTCTTAACTCAGGCAAGCAAGGAAAAATCCCTCACAATTAATAAAACATAATAGGCATCATGTTCAGATATTCCACATACCTTAACTGGAAGGAAAGACAAAAATAACAGAAGAAAATAAATATAGAAAAAATAATTACTGGCTCAAAATTTGCGTTTATATTATACTTCAAAATTAAATACTGCAAAATAAGTATGCATACTTCTCTATTTCGTAGTTCAGTAAAACACACAAGCTGCAGATTTGTTTGACTTTCATTCTCTTTAAGAATATACAAAGTAGTATCAACTGCTAACCAAGGGGATGGTTTTCCTAGAAAACAGAAAAAAGCAAAACACTTTAAAATAAACAATGACTGTTTACTCTTTGCTAAGAAAGAAAGAAGCAATGGTGGTATAGTCCATAGCATGCTGCACTGCTGTATATCTCTGGTGGTTCGACTCCCACCAGTGGCTTCACTGGAGGGAAATGAGTAATCTCCCCTTGCTACGATTTACAGTCTCAGAAACTAGATGAAGAGTCACTAAAAGGTGGAATCAACCTCACGGCAATGACGTTTTTATTAGTTCAACTAAGAAGTTAGTAGTTTCTTTCACCCTTGGAAATTTTTTTAGAAATACATTCAATTTTTTTATATACAAATTACATTTGCCTTAAGGCATTGTTCTCTAGGTTCTTATGTTATTCATAAAGTTCTTGAGGGCCTGTTGCTTCTGAAGTGGATGTCCAGTCCTGCTTAGCCTATCTTAGTCTGGAAGCTTGGCTGAAACCTGCCACCATAGGTGGTTCGACCGGTGTTTGACATTCTGATGACATAGCTTCCATGTCAACCAGGAAGTTCCTTAGAAGCATGGGTGGTGAAACTAGTGGTATTATTCGGGGGGTTAGAAAGGCGCAGACAACAACAGGTGACACTATCAGAGAGGATGACACCAAAATGAGAGTCTGTAAACTTTTTTAGTGGAAATTTATTATTTTTTGGGGGCGGGGGAACCCCCTGTTTTTATAAGAACAAAAAAAATTTGTGTAAGCTCCATTTGCATGTAGAAATATTATCTACAAGACTAAAAATCTGTGCTTATTTTTTTTTAAACCAGAGCTCATGTGTCATGTGGTCTTGTCTACACATTCTATAAGCACATACCATCATTTTTGTTGCTACTGGTATTTATACAATTACTGCTTTTGTCAAAATTTTTTGTGCTTTAGCTAAAATATTGTGGTAGTAAATATATGAACCATACCAATAATTTTTTGAGAATGAAGTAGTAATAAAAGAAACATGGGAGAAAAAGAAGAAAGCTTCTACTCACTAATAATATTGAAATTCAAAGTAGAAAGGGTCACATAACAATTTTATTCATAGTAGTGAAATAATCTAAGAAATAGTACATTTATGCAATTTATTATTATATTATAATTGAAATATATATTACATATTACTAAAATTGATAATAAACATTACTAAGGATTCTATATGGCCTGGCATGGGTGAAGATGACACCATGAGTTAGCAGAGTAGGTCACACAAAGCCTGGCAATGTCAATCTTTAAATGTAAGTCATATATTCCCAGCAATTACAATCCTCTATACCCTCTTTGTTTTTCTCTTAGCACTTAGGATCTTCTATTTGCTAGTTATCATGTTTATCATTTATTATGTCTCTCTTACTAGAATGTAAACCCCATGAGAACTGTGGCTTTGTAATTTTTCATACTCTGATGCTAGCAGCTAATAGGCTTTCAGTAACCATCTGATAAATAAGCTAATTAAGGAATCTTATTTAGAAAAATGTGAAGGATTAACAACTACATTCAATTTTCAGGGCTACCTTGGTTCTGAAAAATGACTAATCATCATTTGAAAGTGTCAACTACCAAATGCTGTAAGCATCTCACGAACGAATGACCAAAATAAACAGGGGTGAGAAAGAAACACTCGAATAAGAATGCATCTCAGAGGTTTGTGGTTCAAATCTACCAGATGCTGTGCTGGAGAAGGAGGGACAATCTCCTCCTGTACCAGTCAGACCTGATTTGATGGCACACACACAAAATATAATAAAATTAAAAAGAAATTTAAAAAAACACAACATAAGAAAAATAAAGGTCAATTTGTAGCAATCACTAATGGGGAAAGCCCCCTTATAGTTATCTTTTAATAATTAAAAATTATTTAAAAGGCCAAATCCAGTGTCACTGAATCCATTCCAATCCATAGAGACCCTTCACCAGGATTCAGAAGCTATAAATCTTAATGGGAGGAGTCTACACATATATCTCCTGTGGAATGGCTTGTGGATTCAAATCTTTGAACTTATAGTTAGAAGCACAGGAAGCAATGTACTCTGCCACTAGGGCACCTTAAAAACCATTTTAGACACTAAGAAATCACTACATTTTCTCCAGCAACTGTGTACAAAGATTATCATAAATGTAAAGATTACCCAGAAATGTTTAAATTGTATTAACACAGGATTTGCAGATATTAAAAAATATAAAATTTTTATATTGCCCTAAATTAATAGTCCCACAGAATGTCTCTTAAATATTTTATATTTTTAAAATTATAAATGAAAAATGTTAAGGATTAAATTGTAGATAAATTGCTAATTTTCTATCAAGAGGTGTCTAAAGAGCAGAAAATGAGACATAGGGGCACAGGGCCGTAAGCATTTCTCTGAAAAGGCCAGAAAGCAGATTAAGTGCCCACAGCCCAGCCCCATGTGCCTCTTGAGCCACAGAAGCAGCAAGAAGTTCGATTACTCAATGTTGTCTCACAGACTGTGGTACCAAGAGTGAGGTTATTAATAAAGTAAGTTGCAGAGTAAGGGAAGAAAAGAATTATCATCCAGTGCAAGTCCAGGTTTAGTCTACCAGTTACAAGCCATTTTAACAGCAAAACACAATTCTTTAATTAGTAAAAGTCCTAGTCTCAGCACAATAACACAAATTCAAGAAGCCTCTGGTTTCTTCAATCATTTTGCAAGGTTCACCTCAGAGAAATTATAAGTCAGCTTCTTCTTCAATCATCTGGCAAAGAAAATCTTTAACTATGGCCAGTACAAATGCAAGAAGCCTCGGGTCACACTTTGCCAGTCTCTCCACAGCAATGCCTGTCTCTCTACAATCTCTCGAGCTTAACCCAGGGTTTTTTTCTCACCGCAGTCTTACTCTATCTCACTCTCTCTCACCAGGTCTCACTCTATAGTGTGGAAAGTTCTCTCTCTCTTTCTCTCGCAAGCACACATGCGAAGCAAATCACTTATTTGGCACAATATACAGTTAAGTATTAGTTAATATCTTATTTCTTAAAATATAAACATCCATTTCTTACCTAAACAGATTAATTTCTTCACTAATTAGGATTATCAAATATTTATATGAATGTCATGGAGAGCACAATATGACATTTAAAAACATATACAGAAAATAGAAACTTGCCTTCAACTTGACTCAGGTTTAGAGGCTTAATTATTAGATAAACCATGGACCTCTGGGATATTTGCATCCTATATTGATGACTAATGATTTCACTGTCTTCTTCTAAGAAGAAGCAACCTTTTGATTGTGTGCATTGCCACTCCTGAAATGAGAGAAAACTTTTTTCAGTGTCTATGAAATGTTTTCAGTAGATATGATACATATCTCAAAGGCATGACATGAGAAGAATATAAAAGAAATATGAAGTAGAGTCATTGACCTTCAAGAATTTGGAACATAGGAGCTAAAACACAGAAAGAATAGAATTCCATTATAATTGGTTGTAGTATAAAGTTATATACCAAAAAAGCAATACCAGATTTTAAAATAGTATCTTGCATACTGATCAAGAAACAATCTGACTAATGAGGAAAAGAAGCTTTGATAAAAACTGACTGGTCAATTAATGAACTGTCCCTTGAAGCATGGAGAACATTTCTGTGGTAAAAGGCAGAAAAAGACAAAATGAAGAGAAGAAAAAATAAGACCATGATGGCAAGAAGTCCATAAGCAAATTAATAAATTTGTTGTAATAGTCAGGGTCACTATACTGGATAAGCTCAGTTGTGCCCACTTACTACATCATCAATGGCCTATGAATGTAACAATGTACCCTGTCATTATTTCACCAATATTGTGTTACTATGAAATAAATTAGAAGGTGAGGGTGAGGTAATCTCTTAAGCATGGGGTAGGCAGATGAAATATAGTCTTGTACCTTAGAAATATCTGTTTTTGTACTTTTGGAGTGTTTCTTTTTTTAAAATTTTCTTTAAAAATAGAATTTTAATAATTTTTACACAAACTTGAGCTTCGCTTTTACTATCAAGGTTGAACACTCTCCCTATATGATTTTATCATTTTCTTTTGTGTTAACAGCCTATTCATTTCCTAGTCTCATAACTCCATCAAAGACTTCTTCATGAAGGCTTTTTTATATATTTTCATAAAATCCTTAACTATTTTAGTAGCTGAGGAGCTCTTGTGGCCTAGTGGTAAGGAGTTGTGCTCTCAATCCAAAGGCATGAGGTTCAAATCTACCATCTACTCCGTTGCAGAGAAATGGGCAATCTCCACCTATGTTATTACAACCTCTAAAATCACACTGGAAAATCAACTATAAAATGGTTCTGACTCTAATGCACCTAACAATAACAACATTTTATATATTAACTACTTATACAAATTTTGATCAATTTCCCCTCTGCATTCCCTTTTATTAAAATGTTGGCTATTTTTTAATTTTAATTTTCCATTTTTTATTCATCTTTTCTTGGGAAATTACACTGTGATATTATCATTTGTGATATTATCATTGCTGCAGAACACTTAGGTTTTAATAGGCAGTAATTGTACAAAGTGTCATGACATGTAAGTACAAAAAATGGTGTTTTTTTAAATTCTGAGAAATTAAGATATTACCATGACAGAAGACATTTCAAGATTATTTTTACAAGGCAATATAGGGTAAATATAGTAGTTTAAACACACAGGAAAATGGTACTCAGAGGTTACCTAGGTTCACAGAGGAATTTGAAGAAATATCAAGTTTAGAGTGCAAAACTATTGCTGTTGTTAGGTACTCCTGAGTTGACCACAAAGTGTAGCGACCCTATGAATACATCAGAAATCTGCCCTATCCGGTGCCATCCTTATCACTGATATGCTCAAGTCCACTGTTCCAGTCATTGTGTCAACCTATCTTAATGAGAGTCTTCTTCTCTTTCTCTGATCCTCCACCATTCCCAGCAGGGTGTCTTTTTCTAAAATCTGGTCTCACATGACATGTCCAAAGTATGTGAGATGAAGTTTAGCCATCCTGGCCTCTAAGAAACATTCTAGTTGTACATCTTTGAAGACAGACTTCTATGTTCTTTTGGCAGTCCATGTGATATTCAGTTCTCTTCAACACCTCAATTTAATGGGATTGATTCTCCCGTCATCTTTATTCACTGTCCAAGTTTCAGATGCATAGGAAGTAACTGAAATGCCAGGCACAACTTGATCTCTAAACTGACATCATTGTTTCTCCCCACTTTAGAGGCCCTCAACAGCAGATTTTCCCAATGGAACACGTATTTTGATTTCTTGGCTGCCTTTACCATGAGTATTGGTTATGCATTCAACTAAAAGTAAATATTTTACAATTTCAAGCTTTTCTCCTTATAGCATATTTCCTATTGGTACCGTGGTTAGGATTCTTGTTTTTGTGAAGTTGAGATGTACTTCCTGTTAATGACTGTAGTCTTTGTCCCTTTTCAATTAAGTGTGTCAGGTCTTTTTCAATTTCTGCAAGCAAGGTGTGTCATCTCCATAACAGGCTGCTGCTGAAATCTTCCTCCATCTTGTTACCATACTCTTGTTTGTATTTTCCAGCTGTCATCATACAGTGCAGATTCTAGTATGATTTGCTCAGTATACAGAGTGGATGGGTATGGAGAAAGGATCCAACCCTAATACATACTTTACTTAATTTTTAAACCATGTAATGTTCCCTTGTTCTGTTTGGACAATTGCTTCTTGATCTGTATCTATGTTATTAGCACAATTAAGGGTTCTGGGATTCCAATTCTTCACAATATTAGCCATAGTTTGATATGGTCCACACAATACAATGCCTGTGCATAGTCAATAAGACACAAGTAGATACCTTTTTTGGTAGTCTTTGCTTTCAGCCAAGATCCATCTAACTCAGCAGTTATATTTTTTTGTTCTATGGCTTCTTCTAGATCCAGTTTGAATTTCTGGAAGTTCTCTGTTGATGTAAATATTTACCTGCATGTGATATTAATGATATTGTTAGGTCATTTCTACACCCACTTGGATCATCCTTTTTTGGCAAGCAAACAAAAATGGATTTCTTCTTGGTCAGCTGGCCAAGTAGTCTTCTAGATTTCTTGGCATAGGCTAGTGAACATGTCCAGGGCTGTATTGGTTTGTCAATATACATCAGCTGGTTTTCCATCAATTCCTCATCCTTTATTCTTTTGCCAATGCCTTAATTTGTGTCTTGAACTTTTTCCTTTGTTACCATTCATTCTTGATCATACGGTACTTCCTGAAAAGTTTCACTGTAGATAAATTAATTAGTGCTTTTACCATTAGCTCATGTTTCCAAAAGAAAATTCCAGGAAATAAAATATTTTATTTTATCTTTATAACATTATGAACCTCAAACAGGCTTCTCTCAAGACAATGTTAATGTAAACAAAACTATGTATCAAACTTTATTTAGTTTCCCTGTAAATCTCTTGGCTAAAAACACATATGGACTAATAAGAGATGCTCAAAGTCAATTGACCTTAATATAAACAACATGATCTTGGGCCAAGAAAACCTCTAAAAGAAAGAGACAATATACCCTATCTTGTTTTTTAGGTGCTGTCCAGTCCACTATACCTTATAGTGAATTCATGAACAACAGATCTGAACTCTGCCTATCCTGTGCCATTTTGATCAACTCTGCTGTACTTGAGCCCATTGTTACAGTCCCTGAACCAATTATTAATCTATTTTGTAAAAGTCTTGCCCTCCTTGGCTGACTCTCCACCTTTTCAAGAACGATACCCTTTACCAAGTATTGGCCTCTACTAACAAGTTAAAAGTATATGAGATGAAGCTTCACTATCCTTGCCTCTAAAGAGCACACTGACTGCACCCTCTCCAGGATGTATTTGTTTGTTCTTCAGCAGTCCATGATCATTCAATACTTCTCTCCCACATCACAATTCAAAGGCATGAATTCTTCTATCATTCCTATTCATTGTCCAACTTGTAGATGCATAGCAAGTATTTGAAAAGATTTTGACTTGGACCAGGCACACCTTAGTCTTTAAACTGACATCATTACACTTCAGCATTCTGAAAAGGTCCCTGACAGATTTTCCCAATACGATGTCTTCTAATTTCCTGACTTCAGGTGCCAAGGATGCTGATTGTGGATCTACATAAGGTAAAATAATCAACAATTTCTATCACTTTTCCATTTATCATGATATTGGCCTAGTGATGAAAATTTCTGTTTTCTTGATGTTAGGATGTAGTTTATATCAAAGGCTACTGGTTTTGATCTTCTGCAGTAAGTGTGCTCTGAGGCAGCTTGAACTGTGTGTTATTCTGACATCCAATGAAAAATAGTAAAAATGTTTTCCTTTCAAGTGACTAACATTATCAGATAGGATTTCATCAATTTAAGATAATTTTTTCTATTCACTCATCATGAATGGTAGAGGATAAAACTTTAAAAATACAGACAACTCTTGAATACTCAAATATTCTACCTCTGTGTGTTTAGTTTAGGTAGATTGTGAATAATTAATCTACCCACTTCCTCTAGGTTTCCAAAGGTATCAGGGTATGCTGTTAATGTGTACTACTGAGTAAAAATTGACCCAGAGCTGACACTCTGGTGGGTTTTCAGGGACAGTAAATTGCACGGGAGAAGACTATCCATCTTTTTCCCATGGAGCAGTGAGCAGCTTCAAACTACATACCTTTTAACTGGCAATACAATTCCTTATTACTAAGCCAACAGTGCTCCCTTCTGTTACTATTCTTTTTATTTCAGTTACTTTTGTTGTAATGTCACTCATTTCTTATTCATGTTCTCTCCATCTCCTTTTCCTTAGTTAGATCTTCCAGTGGCTTGGCAAATTTATTGATCCTTTCAAAGTATCAACTCCTCATTGTTGATTCTTTCTATTGTTTTTCTGTTTATTTCTGCTTTTCTCTTTATTATCTTTTTTCTTCCAAAGACTGAAGGTTTTGCTTGTTGTTTTTCTAATTTTGGAGTAAGCACATCTAGGGCTGCTTCTGTTTGCTCAAACAATTAAACCGATACTCTGTCAACTCTTAAGAGTCTTAATTTTTGCCAATGCCTTCAGTGGTTCTTACATTTCTTCCTTCAATATCACTGGTACCACACGATATTTCTTTAAATGGTTCCATATGTAAGTTGGGGGTTTGTTTTATTTTGGGTTTTTTGTATAATAATTCTGTGTATTCCTATTATCTCCTTTTGATGCTTCTTGCATCATTCAAGAGTTTGCCATAGAATTTTTCAGTTGTAATTTGAAGCTTGAAATTTTTATTCAGCTCTTTCAG